TTTGGGCAAGCATATTGGCTTTTTCCTCTGATGTTGTGGCTAAGTGATTATTTTTATCTGTAAGTGGTGGTATGGATGACTTGGTGAAGTTAGATCCAACAGCTTTTGCAAGAGACCAAAAGGACCTAGAACTACTTGGACAATTCAGCAACCTGTTTTTTATTCTTTGATTGTATGTTTCTTTAGCGGAGTCAATAGTAATTTTGCAACTATTTCTGGCTTCTATAAATTCTGTGTGGTTTTGAGCGGTTTGTTGTCGTTTCCAAAGGTTATATGCTCTGTGTTTTTTCTGTACAGCCGTTTGACACTGGCTGTTGAACCAAGGTTTTGCATTAGCTCTACGTTTAGTTGTATGTGGGATATATGCGTCCATTCCAGATAAGATTACTTGTGTTATTTCATTACAGCAAATAGTGGGATCAGCTGTTTTAAAGCAAACCTCTTGCCATGGAAAATCCAGGTAATACTGTTTTAGGTCATTCCATTTTGCCGATTTATAGTGCCACATTTTACGAGGAAGTGGTTGTAGGCTTGGTGGGATGAGCATTTCGCACTTTGTTATTATAAGTTTATGATCGGACGAACCAAGTGGAGCATCTACTTGAATTGTGTACGAGTCAGGATTGGTGGTTAGGAACAAGTCTAAAAGCGCTGCAAATTCGCCCCTTTCTGGGATACGGGTAGGTTCATCGACAAGCTGCGTTAGACCACAACTTATGGCAAAAGCTTCTGCTTCTCTGCCTTCGTTATCTGTTTTGTTGTGGTGTTTCAGCCAGGGTATATTGTGGACGTTGAAATCGCCTAAAAAGACAATTTCCGCCTGTGGATAGTTTGACTGTATACTATCACAGCTTTCGGATAATGTCGCGAAAAAGTTTTGGTAATCGGTGTTACTTGGCGGTCGGTAGAGGCAGCAGATAAACTTGGTCGATGACTTTGAGGTGAATTTTAGCCATTGATATCAAGGTTCGCTGTTTCTAGCTTCTCCTCTCGATGACATGAAAGGTCATTTTTAATGTACACACAGATCCCAAAATTATGTCGAAATCGGTGGTGTAGGTCATAGCCGGGATAAAGATAGTTCACAATAGGTGTTGCAGAACTGATTTTAGTTTCAGTGAGTTCAGGTTTGTTGCTTATCAGAACTTTTATATTCCAAGCAACAAAACACAGTTCCAGAACACAAAATTTGAAAAACAAGTTGTGATTTCTTAAAACTAAAATGACGTCACGGCATAGACACAGATTACCTACATACAGATGCGAAAGAGCGGCGAATTCACGGTTCAAGATTAATTTGGTAGACATAGACTGGCCGCACCAATGCCGCATCAATGTATTTTGAACATATTTATTATATAAATGCGGAAGCTCAATAATATAATATTATTTCTTTAATTGGTTCACAAACACCAAAAAAATATTCTTTTTTACCCGCAAAAATATGTAAACACACAGGCTGGAACATGCTCACGCACCCGGCCACGTTAATTGTCCTGACGCGGGCGATCTGTATCTATGCGTCAGGGCGCTGGCTCCCCGGCTTCGTCACAGAATATCGTCGACGGCAAGTATACGTACTTACGCATCTGTATTAGGTGATCTGTGGCATAGATCCTTCTCAACACTACAAAAACTGTAGTTGTACAACTGAACGTTCTGAGAATTGAAAAATTACATCAAGCCGCAGTCCAAAACCTACAACAATGAAGCATTAAGTATACGGGGTGTCCCACTAAGGTCGGCCAGGTACGGTATTATGGAAACCATAGACCTTACGGCTTCGGGATTTTTTTTTCTACACTAAATCGGCCAAGAGAAATTGATGGAAATTATTTTCAAGTTTCTAAGATGACCGCTAGGGGGCGGCAGTTACGATAATATAACAAAAATTAAAATTTTCTTAAGAAATCGCTATATGTATTGAGATACTGTTTTAACAACAGAAATCAAAAGTTCATTAATTTTTGCGCCAGTTTGGTTATTAAACTTTTTTCGTATCTTCACTAATAAGGGTGGGATAAGCTGGTGAAAAAATTGCTGTATCTTTGCTCTTCGAAAATAAACTATTATTATTATTATTATTATTATTATTATTATTATTATTATTATCTTCCATACCCCTCATTCAATTTGGACTCATTTGAAAGAGAATTTCACTGTTATTAAGAACACCACTTCGTTCGGGGTCGAAAGTCGAAAGAGCGCTGTTTAACCAAGATCCATTTTTTTCTAATTTTCTTGAAAAATCCAAATGGCAGGACATTATTTTTTTCATTGCTGTGCTTAAAGAGCAAAACAATATCTACATTTTGGCGCAAACCGCAATTCAATATCTGCATTCGTTTTCAAGTTATGCAAGGTCTATGGTTTCCATAATATCGTACCTGGTCGAACTTAGTGGGACACGTTGTATAAACAAGGATAAAAACCAGGTTTCTACAGGCAATCTTAGAATTCAACAATGGTAACGACAATCTGACAACGTATTAATTTGCAGTATGTTATTTCTAGTTGTAGCGAATGACGTCGTATTTGGCGGGGTTTCTGCGGCGTTTGAAATAATGCTGAATTTATATTTTTCCCCAAAATAGTGTTATTATACTTAGTCTGTGTTCTAGAATTAGAGAAAAAATCACTAAATCTTCTCATTGAAACTTATATTTGGAAAAAAAATCGTCCATTTAGTTATGACAGCAATGCAATTATTATTTATTAAACCCATTATAGCATGTGATTGGTGGAAATAAACACAATAAGAAGCATATACGGAAAACACTACAGGACAGAAAAACATGCAGACAGTAGCCTACACCCTCGCCTACACCCATATCTATGGACATCCATATATTTGAAAGGAACAAGAACAACAAGAAAAAATGACGAATGTTCTAAGAAAAACCGGTATTTTTTTTGTGAAACAAAAACTACAAAATCGCCAAACAAAAGTCACTATTATCGTTTACCCACCATGTTCAATAGAAGCCAAATTCTAAATCGGCATAGTTGACTTCCACTTGAAAAAGTTTGTTCTCATTTGTTTTACTCAAATAAAAAATTGATTCGCAAATTTTTGAGGTCAACGGTTTCTTATCTATAAAGAAAAACATCATTCTTTCACCCAAAACAGTATTATCCATCCATATCCTTTCGTTTCGACTACAAAAATTAAAATGTTAGAGCATATTTACCTACTAGTCCAAGAAACGGAGATCTGAAAAGAGGGGTTACCTCAACATAATTAGAAGTTGAATTTTTTTTGGAGGGATAGGTTCATTCTAATGTGCTAAACAACATATTAAGTTTGCGACCTTGTACTTCCATAGGGTTTTCAGTTAGGGGTGGTTTTTAGGGGTAATTTGAGGTTTATGGAGAACGCTGCTCAAAAGGATGGTCCAATAGCAAAAAGTTTCAAATTAATGTTGTAGCTGAAGCTTTTTACTATAAAAAACTCAGCGACAGCACCCCTCTATCTTCTATAGTTTTTTTTCTGCAGCGTCTTGAATAGTAGCATGTTTTTGTTCAAGGTTACTGAATCAACATTTTGCCATTTTGCGCGCATTTGTTGCAGCAGCGGCCGAATGCATAATCCGATTTCAATTTTTCAAACACCACATTATTGCTAATGAAATTCACTCTCCAATGCTTTTTTGTTCGAATTTTTTGCTTGAAAATTAAGCGAGCACGGACTTGTCTAATGTGCGAGGAAGTTGTAAATTGCATCGAAAACTACCCCTTTCTTGCATTCACTGTAATTTCTAAACGGGGCGAAATATTTGGTGACAGTTTTCGACAATCGGCAGCCCATTTATTCTTCTCATAATGCCCCAGCGGATTTTTTTTTTTCGTCAATTATTCAATGACTTATTGGCCTGAAAACGTCTCGCGGAATTTTTCAAAAAGTAAAAAAAAAAAAAATTGTCGCATAGCGCTGAAATTTGGTACGATGGCCTTATTTATTGTTCTTACGAATATAATGCAATTTTAATTGCTTCACATGATATAAAATTGCAGTATATTCACGAGAACAATAAATAAAGCCATCGTACCAAGTTTCAGCGCTATGCGACAATTTTAATTTTTTTTTACTTTTTGAAAAATCCCGCGCGACGTTTTCAGGCCAATAAGTCATTAAGTGATTAACGAAAAAAAAAATCCGCTGGGGCATTATGAGAGGAATAAATGGGCTGCCGATTGTCGAAAACTGTCACCAAATATTTGGCCCCGTTTAGAAATTAGAGTGAATGCAAGAAAGGGGTAGTTTTCGATGCAATTTACAACTTCCTCGCACATTAGACAAGTCGGTGCTCGCTTAATTTTCAAGCAAAAAATTCGAACAAAAAAGCATTGGAGAGTGAATTTCTTTAGAAATAATGTGGTGTTTGAAAAATTGAAATCGGATTATGCATTCGGCCGCTGCTGCAACAAATGCGCGCAAAATGGCAAAACGTTGATTCAGTGACCTTGAACAAAAACATGCTACTATTCAAGACGCTGCAGAAAAAAAACTATAGAAGATAGAGGGGTGTTGTCGCTGAGTTTTTTATAGCAAAAAGCTTCAGCTAAAACATTAATTTGAAACTTTTTGCTATTGGACCATCCTTTTGAGCAGCGTTCTCCATTAACTGCAAATTACCCCTAAAAACCACCCCTAACTGAAAACCCTATGGAAGTACAAGGTCGCAAACTTAATATGTTATTAAGCACATGAAAATGAACCGATCCCCCCCAAAAAATGTTAACTTCTAATTATGTTGAGGTAAACTTCCTTCATTGCTTGGACTATACTTGTTTCGTTGATGTCTAACTTTTTAGTCCACCTAGTTTTCCAATAAGATATCGAATATAGCTTTGTTATACAGTTTTCATGTTTATGAAGTTGTCACTGAGACATATTTTATTTGAAAAGTTTCAACTTTAACCCCTACTATTGTTATAAATATGTACATAAACCAGAAAAGCGACATCCCGTGTTCTTAAAAAGTTCTTTTTATTTCTAGGGTGACGGTGTCATGGCCTGGCATGGAAAACTTAGGCCTGGTTTATTACTTTTGCTATTTTCGTTCGTTGTTATATCGGAGGCGACGGCAAAAGCTTTAGGTAAGTGATATTTAAACTATATTATCACCTCTTCTTTTCTCTCCTATGTATTATTCCATAAAATAATAACAGCATTTCTGCTAGAAGTAGAGAGAAGGTTTAACATTGTGTGTCAGTTTTAGAATAAGGCTTTAGGCTAGGAGAAACTTGGAAAAACAAACGGCAATTTGAGACACTGTTGGCTTTGGAAAAATTTGCATACATAATAATGATTTTACTCTTGTTTTGAATTTCAAAAAAATTGAAGTGCAAAACGTGGGTACCTACTCACGTGAAATTATTATTAGGTTTGTTCAACATACATTCTTCAAGAGTTTATTATATTGGGTATGTGATCGGTTTTAGCTGCTTATTTAGGTTATGAAGATACTACTATATTTATGCATGAGAATAATCGGTGGCTTTATAATGCCATCGTTTACCAAAAAAAAATAAAAAATACTGACATTAACGTTTGTTTAGTGTCTTGGCCTTTATAGGCTATGAGTGGCCCTTAATTTTATACTCATTTACTACGTTTACTCTGCCAAAATATAAAGGAAGTTTATGTACAGTGGGAATTATTGCAATTGGCACATACCTCTTTTAGCATCCCTCGTATTGAGTCAAAATTCTAACCAATAAATCTATTTAGTGAAGCGGTGTAAAATTATTTTTTTTTTTCAACAGTTCATCAAAACTATAATGTTGACCACTGATTTATCTATCTGACGCGATTTTGACATTACTTGCCAAAGAAGTAAAATTTTGACACATTATGGGGGATGTTTAGATAGTGTGTGCCAATTGCAATGATTCTCACTGTACCTAATGACATAGGTAGGTGAGTAGTTCTTATAGGTTTCCTAAAGTTTTTTTCAATAGGTTGCAAACTTTTTTGCCTCTTATACAGGGCGAGTAAAAAAAATCCCCTTTTCAACATCGAAATTTTCCACTATTTTTAATGAAACACCCTCGAACTGTCAGGAAAGTAAGGTGTCCATATAGGACTAGCTCTCCCTATCCATCTTTTCCCAAATGTCATATTTAGTGATTCCCTTGCTATTAAAGAATAATGAAGTAAGGCACCATTCTGCTGAAAATAGATATCGTTCAAGATACCCTCCCATCCTAATTGTGGATAAAAGAAATTTCCCAACATATCAGTGTATACAGTTCCTGTTATCGTTGGTTCCTTATTGGAAAATGGTCCATATTTTTCCTCAACAGAGATTGCAGACCAAACTGTTAGCTTTGGGGTATATCGCTATTCTCACTGGAACTCTTTAAATTCTCTTGGAAAATGTATTCTAACTTAGTTGATATCTAACTTGACAGTTACAAAATTGTTTGCCATAATGATAGCAAAGTATCTACAACATGAAGTTGCATGCGTTTGCAAAAGTACCAGGATTTCGATTTCAATGTGTTACGGCTAAAACTTTAAGTTTCAAAGATGATGCATGGGTACATGGATACCTTTAACATGACTCTTTTTTTTTGACGTTGACAATAAAAATAGTGGAGAATTTCGATGTTGAAAAACAGATGTTTTTTTTACTCGCCCTGTATAAGAGGCAAAGAAATCTGCAACCTACTGAAAAAAACTTTAGGCCAAGAGAAGTCGAATGGCACAAACCGCAGGTAGCTAGCACATCTGGTTTAGAAGTTATAAGCATTTAAAATGGGTCTCTCTCGGCTGGGACACCCTGTATTGCAAGTTCTTCCATTATCGTTAATTTCACTAAAGATTCAGGAGTAACTTCAAGGTTTGGACGTCGTTTTTCTTCTGTTATCCATTCCATTGCTTTGATTTAATTATTTTATAATTTTTCGTTTTTTATTAGGTAGGTACGTCATATCGTGTTGGTTAAAAAATAGCATTGACTTTTTTGCTAATAGGTAATGATAATTCTACAATTCCTAATCATTTAATTGTTTCAGTCTCCCCGGAATGTTACATTTGTGTTTTTTCTACCATGCCATCTAAATAATGCCTAAAAGTCCTACATTTTATCTTTCATCTGTCCCTCAGTTGCTCAGCTGCTTTCTGTACTGTTCTGTAGAGCTGATTCACCAGGGCTGATGCTGATGGTTAGTGGAAATTTCTTTCTCGAAGCAGCATCGTTCTATAGATATTTCCGAGGATATTTTTTAACCTTTTTACTTGGATTGGGTTCATTTTAACATCCATATTTGCCTTCGAAGTCTTATATTTTGTTTTTAAAAATATTATTTCCAAATTTCCTAATTTTACATTAACGCATTTTCATTTTCTAGGTACCCGTGAGTTTAACTTTATAATTTCCATTGTGTTGTCTACACGAACTACCTGTTTGAAATTGAAAAATATCTGTTTTTTTTTAATTTGATTCTTTTTTTGAAATATTTCATTCTAGCAAACAAGTTTTTTCGAGTTAAAGAGTCTGATGGATCGGTTTATAAAAAGCCCAACTTCAAAAACTAGGTATTGCTAGGCTTGGGTAACGCAAAAGATAATTTTATTCTGTTCCAACGCTACCTTAAAACTTTTAATACCTACCTTTGAAAGGTAACTCAAAATTAAGTACATACTAAACAGGAACTAAATCAAAAGGGGTTTTAATCAATCTTTCCTCAAAGTTTCCAAAATTGATTTTGTGTAATGTTTTACTAATAACAAATGAAAAAAGCATCTTACACACATGCCTTTTAAGTAAGTACAATAATTGCCAGAGTCTAATAATATGAAGATTACGTTAATAGAATAAATTTTATTTCGAATTATTCCTACTTGTTACAAGTTTGCTGCATGGCAGTTTAAATTGCAAAAATTCTGATACGGATATAGTGAAATTCATGGATGCAAAATTAATGCATTGGAATTAATTTATGAAACGATTACCGCTTTAGCCTTGGTTATATTCTCTATAGATACGAGTAATACATAAATAACGTCTGTTCTGGCATTAATTTCAACTTTTATAATTATCATCTCAGCAGTTATTCAAAAAAAAATATAATTAATTTTAAATCAGGGATACCTGGTATATACAACATATTTATAAATATTAAAAGTAGGTATTTGTGAAAATGTGTCCGAATTTTAATGTTTTTCCTACATAGGTACCCGTGAATTGAGTTTCAAATAAATCAAAAATAAATCAATTGTTGCAACAAAGTTAATAACGCATTGTCTACCTCAAATTCCATTCGGGTGAGTAAAAGAAATAATTATTATTAAGTTCGTCTTCGTTGTTGTACATCATTTTTCACGCCTTCTGAGAAGTTATTAAATAACTTCAAAAAGTAAGAGGTAATAAACATCCATTTGTTGTCAATGTTTAAGGAATAATTTCAGTTGGCAGGAACGTCGTTAAAAGCATGTGAAAGATGTTTGCTCTTTGTATCATTTTTTAAACTGTAATACATCAGGATTTCAATTAGTTCGTGGTACCTATGCATTCTTTATAATCAATTACGCACAACATTGTTTATATTATTTGAAACGACATTTCAACTATTCCTTCTAAGTGGAAGTAACGAAAAAACGTAGTAACCAGATAACAATGACTGAATGAAGCGTACAAACACTTGAAAATTGTATGAGCCACAATCAATGTTTTTACATTTTTCGAATTAAGTAATTTCGTAGAAATGTTTTAATTCAAGGATGTAAACTTTTTTTTACAAAATTTTGTGCTCGTCTATTAAGTACTAAAGTCGAGACTAAAGTGATATATGTTCCACCTGCTAAGTACATAAGAATAAGGAGGTATACTTATTACATGTAATAGCTATCAGACGGCAAGTAACTGTAAACCTCGCTGTAGACAGAAGGTAGTACCTACCCCGAACTTACTAAATTTTTAAGGTTTCTCTCAAGTTAATTTTTTTACTTCCAGTATGAAATATAAATCCTTCATAACAGCAGCTCACTTGTTTTTTTTATTCAAAACAAAAGCAGTGACTGTATAGGTACATGTCTCTCTTGGGCTAAGGTTTTTTTTTAAATTTATATTTATGGTTGAAGATGTTTTATAGTTGGTTGGAAATTTATATTTTGTTTAGTGTTTATGGTTTTCGAATAATAGAGCAAATTGATCCATGATAGAGATAAAAGCAAAATAGAAAATGCAATTAAGTTTTGTATTTAAGATGAGTAAGTGGAAGTACCATAGATACCATAGATATCAGGATGGCTCCCCCCCCCCTTACCTTTCGAAATTTCAATACTGTGGTTACAATTTTTCGATTATTATAGATTTTAACTAGTTTCTCCTTGAGATCAAGTATATCGGAACAGCTATATAAATTCACTAATTATTTTTCGGAGGTGAATTAATTTTTTCTTTGCATAAAATTGAATTCATTACATAAACAGAAAGTCTGTAGCAATTATATCAATTCACCCCAATCCACTGACCTACAGTTCACCCCCTTTACTTACCCTTACTCCATACCATAATTTCAAACAGGAATACGCCAGGGGGTGATAACTTTCTTTGGACAATTTGAGACTTAGGTACCTACTTACGTACCCACTTAATATAGTTGAAAACGTGCGAAATTGAACTTTGAGTTAGTTTAAATCGACGACTACAGTTAGAATTTATAAATGTGTTTATTTCTAAGATCAAAAAGCTATTATTATTGTTCTCGAAAATTGAAATTTTCAATATTTCTTGATGATATTATGGCGTTCAAATTTTGAATACCCTGTTCATAATTGTATACTTAAACCAAATGAATGAAACACTGATTTAAAGCTAAACACCTCTTGATCAGCCACAGTCTAGTAGGCTTTTGTCAATACAATACTCCCATAAAATTATTTTTGGCAATATCCCCGAAAATTATCTGAAGAGATATCTTTTCTCACAAAACATGCAAATAAACCGCTCTATTGTTTAACGAAGCAAATGATGTCTTTGAGATTTCACCCTTTATTTGCCTCTGTGTTAATTTTCTATAGAAATTCTATTGTATACCAAAATAATTTGCCAATAGTTTGCATATTATCAGTGGCAACTGGAAATTTT